TCACAACACCTGTATCGATTCTGGCTTGTTATTACTGTGGTATAACTGTTTTACATAAATATAGAACTAAGCTTTTAAATGTTTAAAGCGGGAACTATTTGAGGCAATTGTGACACATTTGGTATCGTGACACAGTAGGTAAATGCGGTGGTTTACTCCCTGCACAAACTCAAAAGATCTGTAACTCGGCAGTGCAGCCTCAGGGAACAGACCATGGGCAGCTATAACAGGGATGCACAGGAAAAGAGATTTTTTTGGCAAGCGTTTTCAATTCACACTCCTTAAGCATCTGCAACACTAAGCAACACACTGATTCTAACCTTAGTATCTATTCAGTGTTAATAAAAAAGTAATTTTCAAAATAATATATCCGTATAACTGACTATACTAATAGAATGTTATATAAATCTAACATTTATCATTGTAATCCATGGCAAATAATACCCTACCAAGTAATATACAGACATAAAAGGCCTTCTTCACATGCGACAGTTTCTAAAACCAATCTCAAGGTTGTTCAGCTGCTCCCTCTGCTGGATTAGGCCACGATCTGTCTGCTATATAAATGCCATTTTTTCTTATTTCAACTTTTGCTTTTCTTTTTTCTTTTTTATATGAACACAAGCAATATTTTACCTTTGAAAAGTCTCACCAAAAACACATATATATACATGAATATATATATATATAAAGTATCCAACCACACACTGGACTGCAAAGCCTCAATTTTACTTATTTGAGAATTCCTTTTAAAAACTTGCACGAGAAAAAGAAGTTGTAACTGGCTGTGCAATCCTAGTCCAGGTAATCATCAGTAACACCTAGGCCAAGAGTAAAATTGAAAATAACTGTGTCAAATCAGGGCAGATTTGCTGAAGAAATCTGAAGGAGTCCAGCCATATTTTTTAACAACCTGTAAATTTTACTTTTAACAGAGTAACTTAAGAAAAGCATATTTACACTTCAAATATGTTTTTTCCTTAGTGTTAATCAACTGCCAAACCATTATAAAAAAAATCAACAGAACTGCTACAGTGCAACTGTACCACTAGTCACCAAGCTAGAATGAAATGTTTAGATCAATTTTCATTTGAAATTCCTCTCTTTAATATATCTGGAAAAGTTCATCTTTCATTCAGAGGATGCTCACAAGTGGAAAGTCTTAAACCTGTGCATCGTTTGGTTTAAAGCTCAGTAATGGGAGAACCATTTGTGCCTCCTCTCCTGAACAAATTCAACAACTTTAAACCCACACACGCACATATGTCACTCCTTATTCACGTGTGAAATGCAGAGTTATTCCCAGTCACCACTGGAATAAAAATAAAACATTTCATACTGATATCCAAAAAGTTGTTTCAACTGTTCAACCGTGACATCTTCTTCAGATCACTGAGAAGACCTCGGTGCACACAGCAGTAATTCTGGTACGTTGGAATACATTTTCTAAGTCACTGACTTCCATTTCTTTACAACAGAAAATCTTCTCTTAGAGGACAAGCAAACATTCACATCTTGTCTATCAGGTTTTCCAAAGCAAATAGTTTCAAAATCTATCCCTTTTAAACCTCAGAAATCAAGTAATATAAATGCAACATACTCATTTCTACCAAAAATTTGAAGTGGTTGTATATTTTCATCTTCTAACTCATAATACTAGACAAACCAACACACTCATGAGTAATTTATTACAGATCTAAGCCTAAAACTAAAACCCAATGATTATCCCAAACCCCCAAAGCAACCCAGAATCTGTACATGCCGTTCACTGCAGTTTTGTTAACAACTTGATGTTTTCCTGCAAACTCTTGCAACATTCAGTGCTTTTCCAAGAGCCTCAAAGTCGAGACTTGACTAAAGTCAAGAGTCTACATGTCCTGTTAATACTGTTTTTCTATAGAATAACAAGAAATGAACTACATAGGTTCCACAAAACCTGTCTTTTGTGTGAGGCTTGGATAAAAAGGCTCAGTTTTGCAGCTGCTATATTGTGACTTCTGCCTTTCCTGATCACTGGTAATGATCTCACAGTGTCGTTACGTCTCCTCCTGCCCATTTGCTGACTCATTAATCACCGGATTATGAACCCCTTGGGCATGGACCATGTTTTGGTAAATGTACAGCATCACAGCAACTAGCACAATGCCATATTCTGAACAATTACTTAAGGTTTCTAGGCATTATGATGACGATGAGTATTGCAAAAAGTATCAATATACAAAAAAATGTACAAAGAAAGAGATAAAGTTTGCTATTCAAATTGTTGATAAAAATATGTTCTTTCGTTGCCTCATACTTTCAGTGCTGAAGACATGTTGATCAGCAGATATTCAAGTTATACTATATCATTCTTACAGTTTAAATATTTCATACCACACGGCTTAAATGTCAATGTGATATTATAAATGGTAAATGTCTCTGACGCAAAATGTGGCAAGAGGATTGTCAACATTGTTCTGGGCACGTTGAAAGAAAGCATGAGGAAAAGTAGAGGCTGAGCAAGACAGCCAGAGAGGCCAGGACAGGCTGTCAGCTACTGCGTTCCATGATGGAGAGAGCAGAAAGCCAGGCTTCCCTCAAAGGCTTCACTATTCCAAGCCAAACTCCTTGGCCTTCCCGTTCCTCTTCCCATCTTTAGCCAGTCAACCATCAGGGCAAAATTCGACCAGGTAACATGGCAGAAAAATCTTGAGCCAGCTCTGTGCCCACATATAATTTTAATATTGAATGGACATAGCAGTGACATAATGGTCATAGTCTCTCTATATGAAGAGTTGGCAGGATTACAGTTTACCTTTTTACGTATATTGCTTAAAAGTGAATCTGCATGAGACTCTAGAAGGAGAAACCGCATGGGAATGAAGGAAGCAGACACAGCAGGGAATCCCAAATTTCCTGGACATGACTCCTCCGTTCAGGCCCTGTCCAAACCACGGCCTGATCATACAAAACCAGCAGCATACAAAAACAGGCATTTTAGAACTGTAACTTTTCTGCTCATTTTCAACATCATAGACATAAATGTCCACAGGTTTGGGCTTAGCTTTTATGTTCCTTAATTCCAGGACTAGTATCACTTCGTTTATCATCTCACCAAGCACATTGTTTCTTTATAAACCAATAAAAATATAACAAACAAACGAGTTAGAGGTGGCATTATCAGTCAGCATCAATCCTTAAGAAAGAAAAAAAAAAAGGTCTTTCAAAAGATTCTTAAATAGGCATGTTTTCTAACTGTTTTCTTCCTTTAATAAATTCCCTTTAATCTGAACATTAATTCTTTCAATTTTAGTTATTGATTTAAAGCTACTGCTATTCTAAAGGCATTTATAGCCTTTGCTTGGAAATGTAAATATGAGCTAGTTCTGAAGTGCTGAATCAAGAAATGAACCTTGTGCAGGTACAACTTATCTTTAATTTTTCCATGCTCAAAAGGCAAAGAACAGCCAAGAGAAGGCTTCTCAGGAGAGGTGCCCATGCATTGCCTGTCTGGCAATGCTGCTCTGTAATTACACTAATTGGTTCAAGATTTCCTTATTAATGTTTACATGGAAATCTGACCATGAGAGCTGCTTGCAAGCTGGGTCTGTTTTTGGTAGCTTAAAAATACCAGAATGTCTCCTAAAAGCCCATTTGCGCATTGTCCACTGAGTGTGTTCATGAAACTGAAACAGATGATTTTTTGAACTAGACAGAAGGTAAGAAAAGTAAAAAGGGAAGAAATTACAGCAATGTGAGGAAGAATCAACAATAAACCAAATGCCAAAATCAAACTTTGCTTGCCCCCAGTCTTGCACAAAGTTTGTGTTTCATGAAAGCTCATCTACGACGGCATCAGGTGATACCAACCCATTGAAATGCGAAACAGGGTCTACAGCCACCTTCACCTTTGGCAGGAATAGATTTACTGTCTCTTAGAATCACTCAGAATCCCAGAATGGTTGAGGTTGGAAGGGACCTCTAGTGCAACCCCTCTGCTCCAGCAGGGACACCCAGAGCATGTGGCACAGGGTGGCATCCAGGCGGCTTTGGAAGAATTCCAGAGAAGGAGGCTCCACAACCTCTCTGGGCAGCCTGTTCCAGTGCTCTGTCACCGTCACAGGAAAGAAGTTCTTCCCCACATGGAGATGGAATTTCCTGTGTTTCAACTTGTACCCGTTATCCCTTGTCCTGTCACTGGCCACCACGGAGAAGAGTTTGGCCCCATCCTCCCTACATTCACCCCTCAGGTACTTGCACATGTTGATCAGATCCCCTCTCAGCCTTCTCTTCTCCAGACTAAACAGGCCCAGCTCCCTTAGTCTTTCCTCATACGATAGATGCTCCAGGCCCTTATTCATCTTTGTGGCCCTCCGCTGGACCCTCTCTAGAAGCTCAACGTCCCTCTTGTCCTGAGGAGCCCAGAACTGCACCCAATACCCCAGGTGCCACCTCACCAGAGCTGAGGAGAGGGGCAGGATCCCCTCCCTCGACCTTCTGGCAACGCTCCTCCTGATGCAGCCAGGATCCCAGTGGCCTTCTTGGCCACGACGGCACATTGCTGCCTCATGGTTAACTTGTTGTCAACCAGGACTCCCAGATCCGTCTCCACGGAGCTGCTTTGCAGCAGGTCAACCCCTAATCCGTCCAGGTGCCTGGGGTTATTCCTCCCCAGGTGCAGGGCCCTGCACTTGTCCTTGTTAAACCTCATGAGGTTTCTCTCTGCCCAACTCCCCAACCTGTCCAGGTCCCTCTTAGTGGCAGCACAGCCCTCGGGATTGTTGGCCACTCTTCCCAGTTTGGTGTCATCTGCAAACTTGCTCAGGGTGCACCCTGTCCCTTCATCCAAGTCTTTGACGAATAAATTGAAGAGCACTGGGCCCAGTACTGACCCCTGGGGGACACCACTGATCCCAGACTTCCAACCAGACTTGGCCCCTTTTATCACCACCACCTTCTGGGCTCTACCATCCAGCAATCTGTTTCACAGTTCACTCATCCAGTCCACACTTCCTAAGAGGATGGGAGATTGGGTCAAAAATCTTGCTGAAGTCAAGGTAGACCACATCCACAGCTCTCCCGTCGTCCATCCATTCAGTCCATGGATTCTACGTCCATCATATGGACATTCTTCCTCATATGGAGGTGGAACTTACTGTGTTTCAACTTACACCCATTACCCCTTGTCCTGTCACTGGCCACACCCCTTGGATACTTGAACATGTTTATCAAATCTCAAATCAATTATCAAATCAAATAATAGATTCTACGTCCATCATCGTAGAAGGCTATCAGGTTCTTCAGAAATGACTTTCCCTTTGTGAATCCATGCTGACTACTCCTGATCACCTTCTTTTCCTTGACATACCTAGAGATGATCTGTAAGATAAGCTGCTCCATCACCTTTCCAGGAACAGATGTGAAGCTGACCGGCCTGTAGTTTCCCGGCTCCTCCCTCTTACTCTTTCTGAAGACTGGAGTGACGTTGGCTTTCTTCCAGTCCTCCGGTACCTCCTCTGCCCTCCATGACCTCTCAAAGATTATGGAAAGTGGCTCAGCAATGACCTCTGCCAGTTCCCTCAGCACTCTTGGGTGCATCCCATCTGGCCCCATAGATTTATGGGGGTCCAGTTTGCCTAAATAATCCATAACCCAATCCTCCTCAACCAGTATAGGAAAAGTCCTCCTCTCTCGGAAAGTCCTCCTCTCTCTTGGTTCTCTCCCTTGCCTCCAGGCTCAGTACATGGGGACTGGCCTTAGCAGTAAAGACTGAGGCAAAGAAGGCATCTAGTAACTCTGCCTTCTCTGCATCATCCACCACCAAGGCACCCTCCCCATTGAGCAGCGGACTAACATTTTCCCTAGACTTCCTCTTGTTGCTGATGTATTTGTAGAAGCCCTTCCTGTTGCTCCTGACATCTCTCGCTAACTCTAATTCCAAATGAGCCTTGGTCTTCCTCATTGCATCCCTGCATTCTCTGACAATGTTC